CACCACGCTGCGCTCCACAACTAAAATCGTTGACGTTGGCCATAAAGCCGCAGGCTTGAAGTGGAACTGGGCTGGTCATGTCTGCCGCATGTCAGATGAGCGGTGGGCAAAACTTACTACTGAGTGGAGCCCACTCAACGTCAGTAGACGTCGCGGCAGGCCCAAAAGGAGATGGCGGGACGAACTAGACATCTATGACAAGGATTGGCCGCAAAAAGCTTTACATAGAGAGGAGTGGAAGGAGGGTAGGGAGGCCTTTGCCCTGCAGTGGGACGATCATGGCTGAAAATAAATAAATAAATAAATAACATAACACGCCTTTTATCCCCGGAGGGGTAGACAAAGGTGCACATTTTAATGCCACTGTACATACAATGTAGCACCCATTTTTTACTATTTATGTCATGAGAGTGCTACTACTGAGATTTTTTTTAAAACCCAGTAGTACTTTGCCCGGCCCGGGAATACAACCCGAGACACCCTTGACTAGCAGTCGCACTTGCGACCACTCGGCCAACGAGGCAGTCTAATAAGTAAGAAATGGTACTAATAAGTTTATATAGACTTTGAATATAAATTGTAGTAATAATCATTTAAAAATACTTTTTATGGCACTTTTATGTACTGTAAGCGTTGAAATTTTGAATAAATAGAGACTAAAAATAATGTGAATAGCTACATAAGTAATTGTTTTATTTAAAACACGAAAAGAGAACCGGGCGAGGCACCGTTCTAGATTCTGATTTTAAATTACTGAGAATTTTTCTAAACCGTAGACAATAAATATCATTGTAAAAGTACTATAGGACAACAGCTTTATGTTTTGTACATAATTATAATATGATGACAATTGGGTACTTTCCTTAATCAAAAATAAATTATTTCGACTGTTCAATACAATACAATATTGAAAAATAATCACGCTTTAATTAATTGATTTTATGACCAATTCCAGCATTTTTTAAAGAACTATGTATGCAGTTTGTCGTTAAAATACCTAATCTCGTACAAAATTCAAAACTGTCGTTTATGACAGTTAGAAATAAATATTTAATTTGAATAATGGCAAATACCAATTACGTAACTGATGACAAGTGACTCATTCATTAACATGAAGTAATGTCATGTCACACATCATCAGACTGTCATGTTGACACACGTCAAAGTAACATCAATGTTACGTTCAATAGTTACAATTAAAAACAAACTAAAACAAAACACAAGGATTCTCAGTAATGGCTTTCTCTGATATTTACATACATAGTTAGATATTCGATAGTAATTAATTAAAGTCTAGTTGACTGTGATGTCTAATCACTTATGACACTACTTTCTCTGTCACTAAACGTTGGTCCGCCATATTTTGATCAGACTATCCTTAGGATATTTACTTTCCAATTGTTGATATTTTACATGGTGATAAAAGTAAAAGGCGATAGGTGCTGGTAGCAAGGTGCAAGTTATAAACACAAAGATCTCCTTAAATCTTCTTAGAATTTGGAAAGGGTCGTTTTTAACTAGCTTTGCTACTTTAGAGAGATGGCAGGAGAGGAATGAGCCTTGACCTGGCTGTAACCCATTTATAAAATTTCAGACATATTTAAAATTATGTATAAAACTTCCAGGATAATCGTAAAGTAGCTTACATCTGCACTTATCCGACTTGTCTGTTTGAAAATCTTGCAATATCTCAAAATCTAGAGGTAGAGGTCGTTGCCAAAAATAACGAAAGTTTCGAACCTCGTTAGTATTAAAACTCTTGAAGAAATATTTGCTAATTGAGGGGCATGGTAGAAGTAATCAAGGTCATACACACACAAGGGATTTTATAAGCCCTCGGGCTGGAATGCGTCAACTTATAAAATCTCAAACAAATCAAAATTATTACCAATAATTTTATCAGTTATTGTTGGAATTATTCAAATTCAATGAAGTGTATAAACAATACAATGTTTTACACTACGTATAGTTTATTTAATCGCAAAAAACACAGAGCAATGAACGGAACCAGAGGTTTCATATGATTGATGACTCCGTTACGCGGTTTAGTAGGTACCTGCGAATTAAACGGTGTTGCTTGTAATTGCGATTAGTCATATTAAGTACCCATTTAAGTCATGTAATTGAGTATTAGTTTTTGTTCTATACAAGCACATTGGATCAATATTTGTAATCGTTAAACTGATATTGGTAACGTGGATCGGATCGGACACCTAATTTAAAACAAGTTTATCAGGAACCTCTTATTTTCATGGCATCTATTACTATTATAATTTGGGCCAGCCGTTTTTTTTTAAGGATGAGAAATCACGAAATGCCCTCTCCTGCCTTTGGTGAGGTGAGATCGAGCGTCAGACTCTTACTGACTAAAAACCACCCTGTTCCTACTCCTGCTTCGTTAGATACTCCTATCAAACGTTGTTTCTTGTAAACTGATATTAACACAATGTCTTGTATATTCCATTGCAAAGGCAGGATACCAAAATTCATGTAAGTCGTGACATCGATTAATTATAGTCTCTAGTCGGCTCTAGCATCGCGATCGAATATCGAGTCCGCGTACCGGTTACCCGCACTACTTCGCCTTGAACTTGATTTATCACCACAATCGATTTACCGATTACTTTAATCGTAATCGCGAATCGATTGAAAGTATATTTAGAGGTTAGTTCATGTTTTGGCAGTTTAGTGAGGGTTATAAATGCCTTTAGTTTTATACGACAGTTGTCAGTTTCTAATGGGCGTGGTTGGTCACGAATTATGTTATTAGGTGGCACAAATTGATGTATTTTCTACAGTAATAATAATTGATAGTCAGGTACTTTATATTACTTAGATACAAACTGCATAATTATTATTTGCTTCTAGTTTTGATCGCGACGCGTGAGACCTTGCGTCGCCTCTGTCCTCCGATATTTCCACCCTGTCCTTCAAATAGAAAATATGTCCTTTTTGGGGTGTACTTATAGGGGGAGGTAAATATTTTCGTTAGTTTTCGGCTAGGACCTGTAGTAAACTACAGGTATTTTTTAAGTGGTCAACGAAAGGACTAGTCCTAGGCTGAGCTGTCCTAAAACAATGTTATCAGTGCTCAAATGCGTGACATTAGGTTCTTCAGATTTTAAAATTGGCCCGTTCCAGGCATTTCTATCCTGTCCCTCAGTTAAAAAATTATAGGTTTTTTCCGAGGTGTGCATTACTTAGGGTGTTCGAAAATTCCGTATTTTTTGGCTGGGACTCTAGTTTTTAAGATAGGTACTTTGGTTTATTATGCATGAAGGAAAAACGCTTTTTAAAATAGTTTTATAACGGGTGCAATTACAGTTTTTCATTATTGTACTGAAATGAAACGAAACAATCGTATAAGGAAACTTATTTTAATTCATAGTTGATGATGTCGTGATCCAAATAATTTAAAATGCTGATTTAATTTCCAAATGGTCACTTGATTCGAAACGAGAGCGACTTCATTACGACTAATGAACCATAAAACTAAGATGTTCCCATTAATTATAAATCGCACAACCATTATAAATAACAGTAAATTAAGAAATTAACTGACACTACTTATTTTATAATCTGTTTTAAGATAAATAATCGTGTTATTTAGTTAAATATATTTAGCTCACATTTTTTCCAGATATATACAAATCATGTTACTTACTACAACTTTATGTAAAAAGGTAAAAAACATTATAAAAATGTAGAAAAAATAGCCAAAAGAATTTGACAGCGGTGGGATTCGAACCCACGCCCTTTCGGACTGGTGCCTAAAACCAGCGCCTTAGACCACTCGGCCACGCTGCCACTGTCGTGACTGTTGAAATTAACGAACGATATGTGCGTTGTAGATGGCGTGACGTCAATGACCTTCAATTATATGACGCATTTGAATTCCCGTTGTAATTAGTCTTTGACATACTCGAAGCTATAGCTTCGAGTACTCTATATTTTAATTGTTTGAACTTGTAATAAACAACATAATTAAGATAGGAAAACATATGAATTTGATGATGTTCTAATGGTTTTTTTTTATGATTAAGAACTTGGTGTATCCGTGTTTGTATTTTGTAAGTAAGAACTGGCCTCATAGAAACACACCTTAACGAAGAGGATACGTAAATATTTGATTTCCTTCATATGATGATACAAATCCACCCTATTAATTAAGAATTAAATTTTAATTTTAATACCTATCTGTATAATTTTAAGGTAGCTATCGCCTTGCTTGATTTCATTTATCACTGCACCTACACATACGTTCCTTAATATACATAATGTTACAATCAGTGCCAAAATCTATTTCAGTTTGATTAGTGCATGGAAGGTTTCATAATGTTAATATTTTTCCAGAACTTAATATCGTTATCATCATTTTAGTACCTAGCATAGTTAAGATCTATCTGTAGCTAAAGCGACAAACATTCGTACACTAATAAGGACTATATAGTGCTACCAACTTATTGATGCGAGTGGCAAAAAATGGAACTAATAAAAATCGATACAAAATGACAGTACACTTAAAGATACTAGCGACAATCGTAGCTGCAACGTTAAGTTGGTACTGTTTAGAAGCAATTTTAAATCTTCAACTAGTGACATCTATTGGGTAATAGTAAGAACTACTGTTTAGTTTTTTTCTGTGATGCCAATGGATTCTTTATACCTAGTTTAGTGCCAGTATTTAATTTACTTCGAATTAAAATACGATTAAACGCTTTAGAAAACCAAAGAATAGACCTAAAACAGTATCTTGCACTTCCAACCTCAGCACAGATTCGGCTTTAAGAAAGTAAGTATTTGTTACATATGTTTTTCATACAAGAAAGCACCTCTGACAGATGATACCCTACTAGATCTGTATCTACCATTTTAATGGTTTTCACTCCTATTCGATCCTACTGCATTATTTTTCTATTCACATTATTTTATTATCATTTAGGTAAAAGGAACTTGGGGTACAGGGAAGTAGGTAATTTTAAAATAATAAAAACACATGATTGTTCATAATATCCTGTATATTTACCTAAGTGTAAAGGAGAATTATTTACAAGGTGGACATCGATAATTATGTATACGCTTATCCTAGCCTACCTCCTTACAAGTTACGAAAACATGAGATTTTAATAATAAGAATAAAAAAATAAACAAAAAGAAATTAAAAAATTATTAATAATAACAGCTGCTAATTAGCCTCTTTGTTAGAACCAAAACGAAGATTTTTATAAAAAAAATCGTCATCAAAACTTTTTAGAACAAAACGTTTTTAATTTTTAAGACTAGCGACTGTTAATGGCCAGTTGATGACATTTGAGTAAGAAATAGGCAAGTTTGAATTTAGAATAGAGTTTATTTGATGTCATTTGTATTGAAATACACTGGCATGTAAGTTGGAATAATTTTATCGCCGTTCTTGTTTTACGGCGAAAATTAATGAATAATTTTCATAAAAGCTTAGGATTACAGTGTACATTTCAGCACCTTTTATTTATACGGATTACATGTAAAAGCGTTTTGCTATATTTATTTGCTTAGGCGTTATAATAAATGACAATTACGATAAATCTTAATAATTCTCATACCAAATTATTAACTGATAAAACAATGTATCCACTAGGACATTTTGAATTATATCAAAAATTAAAATACATAAATTAATTAATATAATAGTTATTACAAATAAAATTCGATATTATAATTTATTAAAATAATTGCATTTTAACGCTTTCGATGTCAAAACAGCGGCTAACGCTAGGTAAGTATGGTCGAAAAATATGTATTTGAAGCAAAAATATGTATAAATAAGTTAATGTGATAGGTAAAAGGAAAAAATGCGTTCATTTTAGTAAAAAATACTAGTCTTTATATTTATTTTTGATAAACATATTTATTTATGTTTGCTGACTGAATTGAAACATTACTTTTTGACGAAAAGCACAAATAATTTTATTTCTAATGACTTATTTGTTATACTACATTAACTTGCTTGCAAAAGTGACGCAAGCTTTTTAATCTGTGCTAAATGATTTCCAGCAATGAACGCATTTCGGCAGACAATGCACCCAATACAGAACAAAAACAAAGATCTTACATGAAATCTATTCTTACTCAAACGATGTAATATGTAGATTTATTAAGATCACAAACTATTTTTAATAAAAACTACCTTTTCAGGGGTAGCCTAGTTAACAATCAAGTAAAACTTGAGAATATTGACATAACAAAATATCGTCCAAAGACAAAACCGATTGTTTCATAAAATAGTGCATTGTCTACTGAGCCTAATTACCTATCCAATAAAGACAATGAGACAATTTAGATTAAACTTTAACACTATAGAACAGAATTTACTTTTGATTGCCTTTACATGGCAGATCGATTTATGAACTTATGATAAAACTATTGTTATTGAAAACTGAACTTTGACAATAAATAAACAGAGCTTCATTTTTTATTATAGTTATTATTAAGTCTCTATTGTTACTGAAAAGTGAACTTTGACAATAAATAAATAGAGTTTAATTTTTTATTACAGTTAGTATAAGTCTCATTGTCTTACAATGAACATAATTTTGTTTAGCGTGTGATATAATTTAACTGTGTGCATTAAAGCAACCAATTTTATTACACAGGTACTTTAGTTAGCTGCAACTGAAACGTAGAAGAGTAAAATCTATTTATATTTGGTTACACAATAACTATTACCGTATAAATTACTCAGTATTTTTACCTTCTAAAAGAATTTACAATTATAATGTACAGTTTCTTATACTAAAGGGTTTTGCCCTCTACATCTTAAATGTACCAATCCGATAGGAATGTATTTGGATTTTTCTTTAAGATTTTTCTAGAAACCAACTGTTTTTCAGTATAAAAAAATTAGTTAGAGCCTTTTTGGAAGCACCGATGTTTGTTGAGAGTAGATCGTTGTATTTCGGTGTTTATTTTTTATATTTCTCATAATTTATTTATTTGGGCTTGCAACACTGGAGCACAGATGTTATATGTATTTTTTGTAGTATGTATGGCTGTCAAATATTGATTTTCTTATTGACTACTGCGGTGTTAGACCTACCCAGTAATAACTAGAAGCTTCTACGTCAATTTAACAGTTAGTTTCTAAAAAACCCGTAACAGGAGTTTCCCAATAACTAATTTTCTAATGAAATGTTTAAATTTCGACATTTTTCTTCATATATTTATACATTCAATGGTTCATTTATATCCAGTAACGCATCTACTCATAGAATAATTAAATAACTTCGTGAACTAAAGAAATTATTAGTTTTCTATTAACAATCTCGATAATTACAGATTTTAAATTTTATATTTAATTAAATAAATTAATTGACATAACGTGTTACTTAAGTTAAATTAATTAAATAACACTGGCGTTTAATTGCGTCTACATTAATATTTTGCGATGCATAACTAGGCTTTTAAGCCGTTCTAAGTGATTATTTGAATAATTGGCTTTTGGCATGGCGGTATTTGGGTAAAAATTGGTTATAACATGTTTCTATATAAGATATGGGTATGGGTTTCTGATGTTTTTTTTTCTATAAAAAGGGAGTAAAAATATTGTGTATAGCACGCAAATTTATTAATGTTGACGAATATCTCCTACAGAAATGAATTGGGAAATTGAAGATGGCACAAGCAAGTTAAAAATCGTTGCACAACCTAATTCCAGAAATTACAATTGTATAAAATGAGATTAAAATATCTATAACTATATTAAAAAACAAACTAAATAATAGAGATACGTCAATTCCTAAAATTAAACCCCCAAGGTGACAACAAAATAAATCTTAAATAAAAAAATTAGTTTTCTAAAATTAAAAAAGTATTATAAAACCAAATGTTAAGTGTGTTATCGAAAATTCTGTTTCTTTTTCTACCAAATTATTCAATATAATCAGTAGCGAATATCCGTAAATAGATATACAAGATTTGTTCAGTAAAAAAATAAAAATTTCGATGACAAACTGGAAGCAAAATATTACAAAATCTACTTATTTTTTTATATAGAGAGTTCGATCTAAATACATACACACATACATAATTATATTACACATAAGTGACGGACGTGTCCACAGATAATTTATTTATCGAGACTTTATAGTCTGCGCGAAGAGAATTGGCAATATACAGTTGAAGGAAAGCGGATGGCACAAAATTCTTATTTTTTTTTACAGAAAACATACAAGATCGATCATTCAGAACATACGAACCACATTGGTCTTTCATAGAGACATCAATACACCAAAACCTCTGATAAACACCATTTAAAATCATCACACAAATGATTAAAAAACTTGGTCTCAAAGATGATAATTTAATAACATTTTAACTTTAATCTTACTGTCTTCGTAGTGACAATAATCTGTATCTTTTGTACCTGGCTTGTACATCACTGTACAATCCGTACATTACAAATTTGTATCCATGTCAAACATTTATAGAATAATAAATTATTTCATCGATCGTATAATTTTAAAATAAATCACAGAACAATTTTAGCCACGTTCATAAATTAATTGAAATTATTTTTTTTTATTTATATTCCCGCGCATTTCGCGTGGTATGGTGTGTAACTGTCAAAATTTAAAAATGGAATGGCTATTATGAAGACGGTTGACCGGTCAGTCAGGTCGTGACCGCCGACTAGTAAATACGTGGCGTTGGTTGCTCTGTGTCGTCTCACGCGTAAAATTCGCGGTTGTTGTGGCCCTTCCCGTATGATGCTGCTGCAGGGCTTCTCTTGGGCTCGTCGAGCGCATAGGAGCCTTCGTCCTTCTTGCGCATGCGATACACTATGAACATCACTACCAGGATTGCGCATAGTAACCCTACTACTGCACCGCCAATCACGGCTGAAAACAGAAAAGACAAAATATTAGAGACATCAAAATAAATAAGAAATAAATGCCGGGCATTGATCACATCATCATCAAAACATAGGTACCGATCGAAACAATGAATGTTTTCTATTCGAAGAACAAAATAAACAAACTTTCCTTCCTCGTTTTCACTTGTAACAGTTACACTCAAAGTAAACTAAAACCAAAAAGACCCCGAGGGACTTTTGTACGGTTAACACCAGTAGGTAGTATGATTAATGAGGAAAGTTCCGGTATATAATTTATTAAGGAGGTGTACATAGTTTAGTATAACAATAATAAATGATAGTTAAAATACATACCGGCGAGGATGCCAGGCTGGGCAAAGAAGCTGGTAGCGCGGTCCTCGGGTTTGGCGTTCATGATGACGACTTTGTCCGGCGCCCTCGACTCCTGATTCACGTTGCTGCCTGATGGCTCCTGGTCCTGAAACGTTAGAGCACTTCTTTATACGATTTGGAAAGGAAACTTGTTCACGTTTAGGTGTTTAGAAGTCAATCTATCATAATCTCCACTTGAAATAGTTAGGAGAGAAGATTTAAGCATTATTATTAACTGAAAGAACAATTTGCTTTACGTTTCCGCACTGTTTAATATTTGTTTCATTCAAACAAATGAACAATAACAAAAACAAAATGTTTATACTAAGATATTTTTAGAAAGCATTGCTAGCCAATTTCTCGCAATCAAAACAAATAAACGAAACTTAGTACTCTTAGGTAACTACGAAATTAGAGTATTTCTTAACAAAAGGTACATCACCAGAATTACAGAAGCTTCCAGTGTAATATCCTTGCACAGGAGTTGTTCAGAACTTTCCTGAATTTCTTCTAACCACGTCGACGCCGAATGTCAAAATAATCATTCGACCGTTAGATAGTACGAAGAGTGAATATTTCTCAACGAGTGTATAACCTCGACATATTTAATTTTCGTCATCTATTTTCAGAACTATTTTCACGACAAAACATAAGTACTTTCGTGTTTTATTTTAGATCTGAACCAATGAGTATGGTTATCGATGCTAGATTATAAAAAGTGTTGAATTTATTTAAGTAAATGATCTTATTCAATTATTATGAGTGTTTATTTTTTTTATTAGTAAGTACCTAATAACCATATTTGAACACTACATATTTTTATAACATAACATCACGCCTTTTATTCCCGAAGGGGTAGGCAGAGGTGCACATTATACCACTGTATAATGTAACATCTACTTTTTACTATTATGAGTCCCATGTAATAGGGGGTGGGCACAATTCCAGACTCCGTGCTACTACTGAGAATTTTTTTTTAAAACCCATTAATATTTTGCCCGATCCGGTAATCTTTTATTAACTTTTTAATACATATTTGTAATAGAGTTGATGAAATAGTTTTCACCTATTTACATTTCTGGATAGAGTCATTGAAGTTATAGCCTATATGATGTCGATGGAGGCACTGTAGGTAATGAATTAATGAACAAATAAGACTAGCCAACTGCAGCCACAGGGATACAATGAACAATCATGGACACTAATACAGATACACTCTTTCTTCCCTCACTATCAAGGGATTATAGATGATATTAACAAAAAAGAGACTGTAGTTATTTATCAGTTTATCAGAAATGGGTCTCTAAGTACTTATTGTTCAATTGTGAAATATCTTGACTATTAACCTCTTGGCTGTCGATATAGGAGACACAATAGAAAATACATTATGTCTCGCGTAGATCTGCATTCCGACGGACAAGAGTAATAATCTTCGGAAAATACAAAGAGTCTTATTATAATAATCCACAAATTGATATCGTATAGGGGTATTAGCATTATCATTCGTTCGTCCCACTATCCTGTGTTTGCCTAAAATGAACCAGGTCATCGTATGACATTCGCGATATCGAGGACAGTTCCGGACTATGGTAAAACCGCCATTTTTAATATCAAATATCACTTATTTGTATTTTTGCAAAATCCAAAGCAGGAATATGCTTAAAATAAATCTGATTTTCGTTAATAGAGTTTGAGTTTACTAACTTGTAATATAAAGAAAATGTACCTTTTGTCAAGAACAGCACTATTCTAGAATCAGCTGCCATCAACGAAAAGAATCATTCGAACATCTCCCCTTTTGAAGTCGGTAAAAATGGAAAAATTAATGATATTTTGCAAATCCAGCGAAGATCACCTTCGCTCCTACTTGGTTAGCACTAAAAATTAACTACTTAGACTTAGCTGGATGACTCTGAGTCATGAAGGAGTTTCGAGATAATAAGAATTGCAGGCGTACATAGGCCACGGTAACCGCTTACCATCAGGTGGGCCGAGTGCTTTCTTGCCACCGTCGTGGTATAAAAAAAAAAAAGGTCGGCCATTCACAAATAAATTTACCAAAATTTGTGGTCAACAAATGAATTAAGATAACTGTAACATAATTTTAACCTACTTCATCGATCCATCAACACAACTATCTACACGAGTAACGAGCTCATTATGTTTATATAACTTTGAGAATTGTCGCATAATGATTTTACACGCGTGTTCTATTGTTCTATTATTACGATAAAGGTGTTATTACAAAACTATACGTACGACTGAAGGCACGAGGTCCTCGCCAGAGATGCTGATGTCTGTCTGATCCGGGCGCGAGGGTTGCTCCTCCCCCGCGCCTCTTCCCTCCTCCGAAGTGCCTTCGCCTGGCTTGTTCCTTGTATTGGCTGAAATACATCAACAACAAAAAAATCAGTTCACAGAACAATTATTTACAATTTTCCTTGTATTCGTCACAATAATCCATGATGTGTTTATTCATAGTTTTATAGCTCAATGTATTAGAATAATGCGTACGGTATTGTTTTAATATTTCGAGTAACGCTCTATAATTTTTGTGAAAGGAATTGTTGTTGCATCGCTTGTAAATATTGGGCAAGTGAATGAATGGTTAGATCGTACTGATGTAATATTTGAATACGATGTTCATATATACATTGAACTGTTAATACGACGTAATGATTAATTAGATATAATAGAAATGACGAAGACTAATAGACGGTTAGTATTGTTAGTATTAAATTCCAAACCGAAACCAACACCATAGTTGATAAGGAGGATTTAAACCATGGAGAACACCATAGGAGCAAGAGACAGAAACGAAAGACCAGAGCCACTTCAGGAAAACTAGATTATCAATATTTGAAAGGGATTTGGATTATATCGGATATGACTAACATCGCTCATACTAAAAGCGAAATACAGGAACAATATCAAAAAACGGGGAAAGGAATCATACATGATACAGCATGAACAAAAGCAAAGTTAGAATTAAAAGTAAACTTCTAATAAAACATCAAAAATACCAATGATATTATGGACAATATTGCTAAGCTAATGGTTCCATGAGATGAAATACGGATACTTTCAGGGCTATATTACCTTGGACATGCTAACTAGAACTATGAAAAAGGAACACTAGAAATGGGTTCTAATGGCTGCATGAGAGTAACGAAGTCATGCGATATTAAGAAAAAAAGTAAGGAAGTATTATTCCATAAAATTTATAAAATATGCTACGAAAAAACTTACCAAATTCCTCGGACGGTAATAAAACGATTGACAATAATATTATGAATGAATTAATAAATTATTTAAAACAACGAGTAAGATTGCACGCGCGTACGACAGTCCGGCTGTCCCAATAGTAACTGGCGTGTGGTTAAAACAATTAGAAATAACTGCAGATAACAATAAAACTGTTAATTCAAGGTTACGTTAGTTATTGCGAAGTGATGAATCCGCTTATAATCATGAACCACGTTAGGTTAATGCAATTATTAGTAGTAATTTATCACTCTGTGGTTATCCTGTTAAATGTCCTGTTAATGTTATATTAAGGATGGGCGTATAATATACATCTATGTATATAGTACGAGAAATCGTCACTAATTGTAATATAACAAATTCATGATTCACTTCTCTGCTTCATAAGTTGGGTTAAGTCAACAATTTTCAATGTAAATCAACCATGTTCTTTTTAAAGTGACGAATTCTCATACGAAAACAAAAATAAAACAATGCAAAATAAAAACTGGCATGCTTCAGCCACTACTCACGAATGAGCACATCGATATTCCTGGGATCTGTTGGTAATTGGAGCGGGATGTTCACTTTGGTTACGACAGGAGGCTCCGTCTGTTCAGGGATGTCTATGTCGTCTGGCTCCGATTTCTCGGGCGTAATGGGAGTTTCGATAATGGTGCGTTCTGTCTCTTCACTGCCAATGGTGGTGGATCCATAGTCTTCGTCATCGGGAGGTCCGTTGGGCTCGTCACCTGATCCTCGTCCGTCCTCGTCGTCAGGGCCGGGGCCGGCTCCCCACCCGGAGCCCGAACTCTCGTCTGTGTCTAGGCCCGAACCATCATCAGCAGCATCGATGAACAGGTCGTGGTCAGGCGGCGAGTGGACGTCGTTCTGTATTTGAACTACTGTTTCTTCTGTCGGTTTTTCTACGGCAGCGTCCTGGAATGCACAGAAATAATCGCGTAAGACATACTGTTTGATTTCATTATTTCTTTTACTGAAATGAGATAAAGAAATATTATTTGTATATTCAACATTAATAGAACTGGATTACGAGGAAAACACAATTACATTTTATTTTCTCCGTGAAACAACCAAAAAACAATCGTAAGAAATGTAAAAAAACTATAAAACTATGCAATGAAATCTGTTGCGTCGTAATGGTGAACATCGGAAAACATCGTAAAAAATATGTCACGACACAATCGGCGTAGTATTGTTAAGGAATAAAATGTCACAACGACGACGTTTTTTAACGACACAATCGATGGTGATTCACAAGATAAGGGTTGGGATACAGTTTAGCGCGAACACTACATCATATTGATCAAGTTGCACCCTATCAGATGACGTGACCAACGACCTATTTCGAGAAAAATCTTCCATTGACGCACAGTTTTACAAACTGACCTAATTTACAGAATAATCATCTTGGAATAGCCACAAAAACAACCGAGGTACAGTTATTTTAGTTTGATATATAAAATCTTAGGAGAAAAGATATTTGAAGATAAAATGTCTCACAATAACAAAAAAATAATTGGTCTGTTTGACCTACGTCACTATAAACGAGCCGCCGACGACAGTGCTTGCGATATACGATTACAAAAACAAACACTCACCTGGGGGTATTTTTGTCGAGGTATTAAATACTAATTTTAGGCCAGATTTAGATTTTATAGATAATTTTGATAGCAGATTGTCTGCTGTGCACTGTTGGCGTAAATTGTGGCTGCAGGGTGGACGATCGATAGGCTTTTTGGGGGGTGTAGCGAGGGAGGGGAGCCAGTTGGTTTGTCGGGAACATTCGGGTTCCCCCGGCCGCCGGTAGATGGTTCATGAGGCTTTCATTCAGGGGTGAATTCAAACAGTTTTCAGGAGAGTCGAGCAAGCAGTTACAGTTTTGTCCGCTAGATGTCATTTTATAGAACTTTCTTGTACACGAAAGCTTTGTCGCACACTTTTAAAATGTTACATGGATTTTGTTTGATTATTAACTATTTTGTATATTTTACTACATAAAAAAAGATTTTGTAGATAAATCAGCACTGTATCAATACAATAGCGTGAAGTTTAAAAGTTGTTCACCAACTAAGATCGTTGTGTATTAAATATATATACCTATATCAATAGAATAACATAGGTAGCCAGTCGATAAAAACTTTGAACTAGTATTAGACTGTCAAACACCGCGAGTACACCGGTAACCGCAACCTATTGTTCTTTAATTGTCGACGATACTCGACGAGTTAATACTTCTTTCTCTGTGCTTTTGTATATTAGTATTATTGGTACAAAAACAATCTCGCAACTATTCCACCCGAATTACTTCATTTGAATACCAAAATAAATTCGTACATAACATATCAATCAAACGCATCAGTAACGCTTGAACTCTTGAAGGTAGATCAAAGTGAATTGTTTCAACTGCCGAAAACAGTAGGCTGTATAAATAAATACCTTTGCCCTTTCATGTGTTGCACGTCAGATGTCGTGAATGACATAAGTAATTTCTCTTCTTGACAGCTGTGGAACAAACTTGTGACTTGCGTCGCGTCCCGTCGCGGTTTACGTATGTGTGGTAGCGTTTTTGATGTAATTATTTTGATAGACTGCCTCGTTGGTCGAGTGGTCGCGAGTGCAATTGCCGGGCATGGGGTCTTGGTTTCGATTCCCAGGTCGAGCAAAATATTATTGGGTTTTTAGAAAAAAATGTCATAAGGTAGTAGCACGGAGTCTGAAATTGTTCCCGGTATATGGCAAGGTATATCCCTGTACATTACATATGCTGTAGCAGCGTATGTAATGTACACATTACGGCACATAATGCTACTATACAACGTAACACCCACTTTTCATTATTGGCATGCGTCCCATGTGAAATGGGATCGAATCCCGGGTCGGGCAAAGTATTACTGGGTTTCTAAAAGATTCTCAGTAGTAGCACGGAGTCTAGAATAGTGCCCGGTATATGGCAATAGGCTCAAAATAATGTTTTAGAAAATGTATTACGATTCAAATAAATGTAACATCATTTTTTTTTATGTATGTACGACCGCTTTTATTAATTTATAAGTAGGTATTTAGGTACCTAACGCATCAAGTTTGTATTTTTCGTTGTTACATTTCAATTATGTAAGTATTTTCAAGAATTGATCATCAAATCAGGAAAATGACAAAATTGAAAAACAATTAATTAAAATGAAATTTGCCTCGTGTAAAATTTCTACGTACCTATTGTTGTCCACGAGTAAGGCGGACATCTTGGGAATTTTCCCTGTTGTTTGTTTCAAAGTAGGTATTTGTAGACACTAAATACTTTTTAATAACTTTGTACAACAGATAATAAACTTACCAAATAAATAATTTACAATATTACCGTAATATTTTCTTTTTGTTTGATGCCAATCAGGTCTCTTATAACATAACATTAACGTCTTTGATAATTGTCGTTGAAATACTAACTATGACGTCATAGTATTTTTGTGTCAAATGACATTATGTCACCAAAAACATAAATAAAAACAATTCGAACCACAACTTTTTACGAAACAAAGATGGCGGACGCAAAAAAAATTGCTAGAATAATACGAAAATTAAATAGATCGTAAATTTTTTTGGATATTTTATTATAGGTATTGAAAAGACGAAATAATTTACTTTTAAACTAAGTAAAATAACAAATTGGTGAAGAGTTGGAGCACAGGTACTTGGCCAATGGTATGGTAATGGTATACATGCATAAGTAGGTATAGCCAGATGGCAAAAAACACATGTAGGTATTATTTTTATCTGTTTTTTTTATGATAATTTTGACTTACTTGAGAACTACTGTACCGTGAAGTAACATTACTATTAAAAATAAACGAGCCCCCAACATTCAGGCATTCTGTGTGATTACCAGGGTTTTATCGTAAATCCCATCCGGGTGTAATGAGAAATATTATTTATTGTCCGGTTTTAGGGTTGCCATCACCGGATATGTTTGGGGTTGCCACCTTTGTTTCGTTCAAATTAACCGGGTACTGAGTTCGTATGAGATTTTTTAGCTAATGATGGATGTGTAAATGTTGTTTTTGTTTTATTTTGAATTCAAATGAGGGATTATGATAATGATTTTACGCATGCTCCATGCAGTCAGGTTTTTTCAAAATAGAACGTAAGTACCTACGTTCAATATGATTGACTGATTCATTTTTGAAAATCGCTATGATAGCACGAAGGATTTGTGGCTGGTAGCATGTCAAAAAACATGATTTAAGGGTTGCATTCGAAGCTGAACTAACCAATTGGGTATCAAAAATAAATTATTTCGACTGTTCAATACAATAAGATATTAAAAATAATCACATTTTCATTAATTATGACCAACTTTATTTTAATATCTTTCCAGCAAATCTTTAAGATATAAGTATGCTGTTTGACGCTAAAAAACGTGACGTCACAATACACAATCTCGTACAAAATTCATAGAAAACTGTCGTTTTTGACTGTACGAAAAAAGTATTGAATTTGACTAGTTGTCAAGTACCCAATTCGAAATAACGATTAGCTGTCTAATATAGACCTAATATTACCCTAGAATTGAGTGAGCAAAGTGGTTTTAACAAGGTAGAATTATGGCAAATTCTCTGCAAACGTTGGTCATTGATAACCCGCATGGCAGTTGAGGTGTTAAGACGAATTAGCGACATTACAAACACTGTTCAGTATTATAAGTTCGGGTCAAGTGGATATTCTTATTACACCTTTATTGAGACAACCCTATCAAGGCTATAGTGTGGGCGTTTAGACCTGCCGTATATTGTGAATGTTTATGACTATGATATACCAGTATCCGCTAATGTACCCGTCGTACTACATTAGTCAAAGAAAACCGTTCGGAAAATCAAATTTATGATATTTTAGAATTAAATAAAGTAAGGATATTAGTTTCTTGTTCAACGGAAATTATTTTGTTTTCGGATATTGATTTATGGAATATTTTATATTGGTTTTAATAAATATACTAAAGTTGGAAGAATGTTCACCAATACTGTCGACAGTGAAATACTGTAGGTATCTATTTAAATATGCGTTGTTTTCGGAACACGTCAAGATTTTTTCAAAATCCCTGAAACGGCACAGTACATACCTATTACTTACTTTATTTTACTATTTGTAGTTATTTTTTTTTAATCCTGTTAGTCAAATCGGAAACCCATTCCTAAGACATTGCAGACAGAACATACTTTTTTTTAAAAAGAGTAACGAATGGAGTCTTTTGCTCGTTCTTCTCCATTCGAATCTACATTTTGGAATGAGCACCTAGCTTCTCTGACGGACCGGCTTACAGACTATTATTTATTTTGTATTTGTTGACGTTTCAAAAGGACCAAATTATGGTTTAATTGAAATAAATGCTTTGACTTTTTCATGAAATTTTTTAAAAGTGCACCGACCATGCATCCAACGAGGCGTGCACTTTAAAAATTGTATGTAATTCATAAATACAATATTACGTATAACATTCCCAAAGGAGATATGGGGAGAAAAGTAGGATGTATATGCCATACATATTAATTTCATTGTAATAGGGGTGAGCGTATTGTAAAACAACAACAAGGGTTTGGACGCTTGTAATCAGTGGACCAAAATACACTGCGAAATGAGCAGGCATGTAACTATTTGTAAAAGGTTTTCTAGATTCCAAACGTTACGGTTTTATAAGTGACCAAGATCTATTCACGTAAGTACCAACAATTCGGAGCGACTTCATAACAAAATATATTGTACAAGCCCACAACAGACCGGCTCCAATATTGCCATTAAACGTTCTAGTTCTACCCTAAATATTATTTGTTCCGTTTAGTGCTGTCGTAGTTAAGGGATTAAAATAAGCATAATGAAAAGACGAACATCAGATAAGACCATAAAAAGGAATCATAAAAGACAATTTT